AAAGCTACACTGTCATTTACTATTTGATTCATATTTAAATTTCTTTAAGTGTTTTTTTAAATCTTACATGTTAATTTGTTATTAATCACAGCATCTTTTTACGATTTTGGTTTCCTTCAGTCATAGCAAGTTTCCCACTATTTTCCCCCGTTAGTTTATATTTTTAATGCCTTCTCTTATATTTTCTTTTATTTCTCGGCTTCATCTCATTGTTCCTACATGACTCTGATCTTAAAGGATAGAATTTCGAATACTTCCTCCCCTGGTTCCTAGTTTTTTGTTTTTTCCCCTACACATTACAAAATCCCAGCCAAGTTCCAAACTCATTTTGCATTCCAACAGGGTCCGCTTTCCTCGAGCCCCGTATTTTTGTTAGTACTCTTCCCACAGATCGTCATCAGCAATTCAAACCTGATGACATTATGATTGCATCTTTAGTGTTTTTCTACTCCAACCTTATTTATCAGGCCTGCATTATTTCCAAAGATAAGGTCTAGAATAACTTCAGAGCAGAGCTTGTTAGCTGTTGCCTGTGTGTGAACGGTCCTCCCTCCCCCCTTCCTGAACGATAAAGCCACTTCTCTACATTCCGGCCTCATTCTCAACATGTGCACTTGCTGGGCTGAAATCCCCTAGCAGGAGACTGACCTGCTTTTAGACTTCTCTTTTCTATACTCATGTTTCCCTTTCTATCTTACTTCCTATCACCTCATTCTTGCATAGTTTGGTGAAAAAATATATGGCTCCCCTTTGTCCTCTCTGATTATATTCCCTTCAAATGGTTTCCTCCTGCCTCACCCCTTCCTTTAGTTGTCCCTCTCTCACATATTTCCACTAATGTAAGTGGAAGATCCATTTTCTTTGACCACAAGCCAAAGCAAAAAGTTTTCCTTAGTACTTCCTTGCCTCCATAACTACTTCAAAATCCTCACAAGCCTTAGTATGTCACTACCCGGACGCCTAAACAATGCCATGGATATATAATCTCCTGTTAAAGGTTTGCTCTCAAAATAAGAGTTGTCCAAACTCTGCAAAGTGGTGGCCCATCTGGAAAGATGAATCTAGATCTTCACATTTCACTTTGCCTGTTTTCACTTTTCCTCGTATCGCCATCTTTCTTTCCCATTCACTCATTCATTCATTCATTTGTATATTCCAAAATATTCTCTTAGGCTCTCCTAGATATCAGGCATGTAATAATCGCAGGGAGTACAGATAAGTAAGATTGAGTCCTTGGTCTCAGGGAGGTTCACAGTTCTATAAAAAATCTAACAGGTAGAACAAATGATGACAATACTATGTGGCAAGTGCTACCGGTATTTACTGGTATTTACAACTGTCCTAGGAGCACAACAGTAGGAACAATTAATTAATTCTGCCTTTAGAGGATCATGGAGGGATTTGACAGAGTTTGGAAATTTTATTAAAATCTTTAAAAACAGCTAAGGGTAGAAGAGAAGGCTATAACAGAAAAAAATAATAGATAATAAAGACAGAAGTACCTGGAATATTTCCAAATATAAATAATAACCTTATGGAATAGAAACAAAAATATCCTTTGAACTGCTGTCCTTATTTTACCACAGGAGAGTCCCTACTTCACAGAATTGTTCTGAAGAGTAAATGTAAATATACATAAATCCCTTTAGTTCCTGGCATATGGTAAATGCTCAAAAAAAATGTTAGATGTTATTATTTTATTGTATATTACATCGCACGTATTTCATTCCCCCCCTCGGTTCATGGCTTGCTGCTGGATCATTGTGGCTGCTGAGTAAGTGATCTCCAGTTAAATGACATTTTATTGGATATATATCTAAAGAGCCGAAGTGGCTGCTATACCTTGCAGAGTAAAAGAATTAGGAGAAATGACAAACACAGCTGAGAAGTATACCATAAAAAAAAGTGGCTCACCCTGGCCCATGTGGCTCAGTTGGTTGGGCATTGTCTGTTGCACCAAAAGGTTGCCAGTTCGATTCCCAGTCAGGGCACATGCCGGATTGTGAGCTTGGTCCCAAGTAGGGGGTGTGCAGGAGGCAACAGATTGTTTTGCTTTCACATCTCTCTCTCTCTCTCTCTCCCTCTCTCTTTCTCTCTCTCTTGAAAAACATTTTTTAAAGTAGCTGGACCACATCTACTTGTTATTCTCAACTAATCAGACTCTCTACATCTTTCTTTCTCAAAACAGAGCAAAAAGTTGACAAAACAAGTTCATATCTAAGATTCATTGAATAACCCTACCAATATAGTAAGCTTTGGGATCAGTACAGAATGAAATCCATCTCAATATCTTATATCTCCTAAAGCTACACCAAATGGTTTTGAAAACTGATGTTCTGAATAATGCCTTGTAATAGTCTAAGGGGAAAAAGACTTGATTACGTTCCCTCCTTACTGAGGTGGGATGGGGTAGGAAGGTATACTAATATTTTTTTGTAACTTGTGAAAGTATTTAATTTATAGTTTATAATGCTGTCATACAAATTACTTTATTTCAATTTATAATCAGATTAATTTATTTGCTCAAGGTCACAAAACGTGCAAGACAGAAGAAGAGTACAGGTCTTCTTATTTCAATGACCATGCTTCTTAACCTAAGACAATTTAAAGATTCCTAAACGAGATTAAATCAAAAGTAGGTTACTAATCATTTAGTTAACCAAAAACACAAACATCCTGGTTAACTAACTTTTTATATGTATAATATGAGTAAGATAGAGATATATAATTATGTTAGTCTGGTGTTAGTTAGTCTAGACTAACATAATTATATATCTCTACCTTACTCTCTTTCCAGAGAATTATTTTTGCAAAAATCTAAAAGGCTATCAAAATTAGAAGATAAATTATGATTGTAAATGATAAACCCCTTTTCTTTTGAGATTCTGATGCTAAATTAATGGGAAAACAAAAACAATAAAAAATTCCAGACATGATAGAATAAGTGTTACCAAGACTTGACTTCTTGCTATAAATAACTTTACAACTGAACAAAATACATAAGGCAACTATTTTCAGGCACTGGAAAAATTGGCAGCTTAAGACACATTCTAAGATAATCCAGATATACATTAGCAGTTTGAGGACTTAAAGGAAAATATAATCTCAATGAATGAAAAAAAAAAATGGGAAAGCTCAACGAGGAAATGAAGATTATAATAAGTAACCAAATGGAGATTCTAAAACTAAAAAATGTACAATAGCCCTTGCCGGTGTGGCTCATTTGGTTAGGCGTCATCCAGTGCACTGAAAAGTTGCTGGTTTGATTCCGGGCCAGGGCATATGCCTGGGTTGCAGGCTCGATCTCCAATAGGGGGAGTACAGGAGGCAGCCAATGGATGTTTCTCTCTCATCGATGTTTCTATCTCTCCCTCTCCCTTCCTCTCTCTGAAATCAATAAAAAACATTTTTTCTTTTTTTTAAAAAACGGAGGCTCCTTGTCCATTTACGACTCCAAGGGGCTCTACCCACGTTCCTAAGAATTGCAGAGAGTCTCCTATTACTATAGAGCTTTCAAGTGCCAACGTGACTGATGACCACCGATTCCTTCTTATCCTTAGGTTTTGAGATTTTGCTCTATATGAGACAACCAGAACAGAGATCTTCTGGATACGGCACCAGTAACAATAGCAATGCCATCATTAATGCCTACCAGGCTGATCTTCAGGAGAACTCTAGGGAACAGCGTGAGGTCTGACAGAGTATTCTAAAAGTACATGAGCATAAAATCTAGAGGGTAACTACAAGAGAGGTCCAGGTTTAAGACCTAAAACGTCTTGTATCTTCACCCAAATGTGGAGCCACTAGTAGGGCACCTAGAAAGTCAATACTCAATCACAGTACAGTGTGATAAGTTATCTGATGGAGGTTTTAACAGAATGCTATGGGGGCACACAGAGGAGATAATGAACCTGGGGGTGAGGGAGGAAGCAGTATTTGGACACATTCTCAAGAAGAGTGACACCTGTGCTGAATCCAGAGATGCTAAGAAGTTATTTGGGCAAAACGTACTTCAAGGCAGGGGGCACAGCACAAAGACTCAAAAGGCCTGGACGGTGCCATCCGCAGAAAACTGCAAGTAATCCAACAGAGTTGGAGCATATGGTGTGAAGGGAGAGTGGGGAGATGGCAGAGGACCAGGCAGGGTCTTGGGAAAGACCACCTTAAAAATCAGGCGGAAGGAATTTACAGTCTACCTTGAAGATGAAGGATAGCCACTACAGGATTTTAAGCAAGGAGTACCACAATCAAATTAGCACATTTAAGAAACCATTCTGGCAACAGTGTGGAGAACAGGCTGGAAAGGGGACAAAAGCAGAGAAAGGGACACACGCTAGGAGACTGTTGAAGAGACCCCTGCGGGAATGACAGTGACCCACCACAGCAGCACTCAGAAGGGAGAGGAGATGTAGCAGATGCAGTAAAGAGGTCAAACTCCCAAGACTTGCTCACTGATTCACGTGAAAAAGAAGGAATCCAGCACGACTCCCAGGTCTGAAGCTTGGACGTCTAAGGAACAGGCCTCCTGCCCACCGAGATAAAGAACAAGACAACTTGCATTTGAAAGTATCAAAACAATGATCCTGCACTAAATTTAAGAAGAAAGAATGAACATAAAAGCACAGGTTTCCTTAGACAGTGTGGATACACCGTCACCAAGAAAAATCTAACACTTAAATTCATAGAGAGGAATAAGCCAGAGTTAAAGAAATTCCTGCCTAAGTACTGATGAATGAATAAGCCACGAACACAGCAGGCAATCCACTAACAAGAGAGCCATCTACTGCCTCACAGGGATAGTGCAGCGACGAAATGCCACCAAAGCGTGTGGAAGAAAGCCAAGTGTTCGAACACTTCACGCTGTACGTGTCGTCACAAAATATCTGACACCCCCCCAAATCCAAGTGCTTAGCACTTTTACCTAATAGCCAAATGTCTTCACTTACCTGTTTCACCTAAAAACATCAATTCAGTGTATATCATCCTTTTAATATGCTTACCTGCCATCATTGCTATCATGCTGGCTTTATAGACATTAGTGAGAGATCCAAGTTCTCCTGTTGCTAAGATGGTTTTGAGATGAGCCTTCCCACAGGCCTCGCGAAACTGACGAATCTCATCATACAGGGCTGGGGGAGGAAATAATTGAGGCAGTTACAAAGCAGGCAAGTGATAACAGGACTTGGCAGCCATTTAGAGCAGGGAGAACCCATCTCAGATTTAGAAAATATAAAACATTTGTCACTTTCTAAAAATCACCCCAATTTAATATCGCCTAGAGCATTCTGTTGCAGTTCACATTCTGTTACAAGAAATGCTTAGTTTGCTACCACGAAACAGTTTCCAAGCCCTGGCCTCAGGTCCAGAGCCATGAAGATTTTAAAATATCATTATAATGACACGCAAGTTACAAATAATTTCTACCTCTTCCAGATGACGGTTACTTACAAGAAAAGAGAAATTTACCGACCATACATAAAGGGGTGTACCACTTTGCGAACTAAAGAAAAAAATCCTCAGGTTTCTATTAATTCTCCTGTTCACACATAATAAGTTCTCTTGTTGAAATATAAAGCAGGCCTTTCCTGAGAGCTCTGCTGATGACAATAAAGACATAACAGCTTGTCGCACTATCTGCCAGGGTACGTGTCTATATATGTGACTAAAAAGTGTCAAGGTGGTACTGCATGTATGTGCGCAGAACTGGCTGTAGAGGGATTTACAGATGCAGCCTTCAACCTATTAACCCCTGACCCTAGAACCACATCTAGCTTTCTCGGGCTCCATATAGCACCCTGAAAGCAGCTTGATTATATACATATAAAACTATACACAACGAAATAAAGTCAAGGGGAAAAACATTTCACATTCAAAGTAGCAGAATTTTATAAACAAAATCAGTTACTGATTGGTAAATCAGTTTACTTTAATAAGTATAAAATTTTTGAAAAATTACTTTACAGCCTTTTGTCCTGACACTAGTGGATGTGGGCTCACACCCTGCATCAGCTTGGCCATATTAATTTCTTGAACTTGAGCTACTGCAAGTTATCAGGGCTAAGGGCAGGGCTTTTTCTTTCTTCTATACGTGTATTTCATGGGAAGTAGCACATAGATTAAACTGAGCAGGAAAGAAACATTCATAATAAGGGTTAGGGTTAGGGTAAGAATTTTTTAATACAAAAATGAGAGTTCTGTAATTCCTAGGTTTCCTGAAGTACATATAAAGTATTTAAAAGTCAGCAAACTCAGTCAACTCTGTGAAAGTTATAAGAGGAATAAAACTTGTCTTCCCAATCCTAGAAAACCTGAACTTAACTTGAAGCTTGAAAGTGAAAACTGAATACAAATAAAGATATTCTATTATGAGACACTTGGTAAAGTTCAGTGTTTGGTGCCACCAGAGATGGTCTCACAGGTTTTTTAAGAAAAGATTGAATATTTTCACAAATCCCTAATAATCTGCAGTTTTGAGTACTAGAAATGATCTGAGATGCCACACCACCTACCTTACCCTGCCCATCCTTCCTAAACTGTGAGAAAATCTTTACCCATAACATCTATTACGAAAACGTGTGTGAGAATGGTATAGACAGTAAAAGACTATGTCAATAACAACTTATACTTCTTTTTTTTAAGAATAGTTTATTGATTTTTTAGAGAGAGGATAGGAGAGGAGAGAAACATGGATGTGAGAGTGAAATACTGATTGGTTGCCTCCTGCAGGACCCCTACTGGGAACTGAGCCTGCAATCTGGGCAAGTGTCCTGACCTGGGATTGAACCAGCAGCCTTTTGGTGTATAGGACAATGCCCAACCAACTGAGCCACACCAGTCAGGGTTCAATTTATATTCTTTTAACTCAGAGGATGAATTACCAAATCTAAACAGAGAAAGTTGTTCTCTAAGAAGTAGTGACAAAGGAAATCTTTTGATCTGAAAACTCAAGAATGATAATCCAGAGTTAACTTGTGATTTAATTAATGGCTTTTCTTCCACAGTACAGTGTTGCCCTCAAGAGCAAGCTGGAGTCAGACAAAGGTGGATTTAAAACCTAACTCCACCATTTACTCTACGATCTTGGGCAAGTTATTTCTCTTAGCCTCAGTACCATCCTAAAAGTGTCAATAATAACATTTATTTTACAGAGTTATTATGAGGGTTAAAAGGGAAGATATATATAAAGCACTTTGCACATTGCCAGGCTTATTATAAGCACTCAAAACATGCATTCGTTATTAAGCTTAGAATTCTAGTAAAATGAGTTTCCATTAAGTGCTGTGTGATGAAAGTCAAATCTTGTTCAGGGCCTGATTCAACTCCTTGTACTGCACTGGATTTTTTTATATGGATTAGTGCTTACAATCAGTGAGCCATCAGATAAGGCTTGAAAATATTTTATTACAGCATTTGTTAAAGTGAACTTTGGCCTATAGAACAAAATTCTTAAAACACTGACCCCGATTATATTTATGGACAAAACTACCATCCTCTTTCTAAAGAGTGTTACCTTTTGATATCCAATGAATTTCTCCACCTACAGTTAAAGTCAACCAGGAAACCCAGATGTATTTTATGACTCAATTATCAGCTACCTGGAAGTTATGCTCTTTAATCCATGATCCAAACAGAATAAACCAAAAATGATCATTTAGAGCTTAACTGGATTTAGCAAATAGGCAACCAGTGCCTCCTTCGTCTTTAACTGCCAGTTCCTCAAATCATTCTACTGACCTATTTCAGTACATTAAAAGGGTCAAGTTTTTCTAAGCAAATATCTTTATCTTTAAAGTTCAACACCGGGAAAGCTGTCATTTCTTTCTGTTACTATTCTGCCCAGAATATACCAGAACAATTAAATTAAAAAGCATATCAAATTATAAAATCTGGCCTTTTTAAAATGTGGCCTGGGCTCCATGAAGTGAATGCTTTAACCTGGGCCTTAGTGAGTGATGCAAAGATGAAAGAACAGTTAGAGACTTTTGTTAGAACTGCAGCGTTAGCAACAGCAGCAGATGTAAGAGTCCAGCGGCCGCCGCCAGCAGCGTGGTACCCTGCCGGCCAGCGGCGGAGCAGCAGCAGTGGCCCTGTGGCCGAGCTCCTCTCAGGGCTGTCTGGCTGTATCCTCTGCTCTCGTCTTTCATGGCCCTCCTGGTTTTCCAAGCCTGGTTTTCCAGGCTTCCTACTAATGCACTGAGTTACTGTATATCCCCTAATATATCCCTTTAGATTAACTTAATCAGAATTGGTTTTATTTGTTTTCAACTTTTAAGTCTAGTCTAACAAATATTTACTGAAGAGGGATGGTATAGCAGACAACAGTGGGTGCTCCGACTGCCTGAGTTCATATCCTAGCTGTAAAACTAATTTGTTGTTTGATTTGGGAAAGTTACTTAACCTTTGTCTCAGTTTCCTCAACTATAAAGTGGGGACGAGAGAGGTACAAACACCTCATGGAGTTATCTCAAGCATGAAATAGGTTAATACATATAAAGTGCTAAGGACAGTATCTATCACATAGTTAACACTCAAGGAATGGCAGCTGCTTGTTTTCCTGTTGCTGGCAGGGGCGGTGGTGCTGTTACTGTTACTGCTGAGTGCTGATTCGGTTCAGAGCACAGAGGGACTGATAAAAGCAGGGGGAACCATGATCTACGTACACAACCTCTCTGGGGCGCTGGAAGAGCAGTCCGGGGTGAGGGGAGGGGGAATGCTTACTATATCACAAACAATTTTTTTACAACTCAGAGCCCATGCTCCCTTGGATAGCACAGGCTCCTGGGATAATAGGACAGTCTGGGCTACTTACCAGATTTGTAAACTTGTAGGAATTACTCAATTTTTCCAAGCCTAATTACTTAGGGAGCCGCAGTTTGCTCACATATTTTTGTGAAGATTAAATAAGATAATACATATGGCTAGAACAGCACCAGGCATATAGTAAGCATTTAATCACTCAATACTAGTTTTCCATAATTGTCCTTATATACTTCCATGCAAAAATGGAAAATGCAAAAATGACTTTAAAAAACAAAACAAACCAAGCACCACCTAATACTTATGAAAATATAATTCGAATTTTCAGATCTTACATATAAGAAAAATAGACCACCTCACTCCAATACAAGCCACAGAAACCATGGGCAGCATTATCAGAAGTGTCTAGGTAGTTCTGAGCACCTTGGCATCATAATGATGGACACCTTGGAACAGATGATAAATGCAAATCAAACGACTTGATGGCTGAAATGTAACCCAGTCAATCTGCAATCATAATGCCCTTTAACATACTCAACTGCCACTTTCCTCTCAAGATGCACACGCAGAACAACGGAAAAGCTAATGGGTGGCTTTTCCCCTACATTAGCAGGAAAGACAGCAGGATGTGGATTTAGATAACTGCGACCGAACTATACGTGTGGAGAAAATTACACGTGAAGTGGTGAGTGCAAGAGATCCTCTTTCCAAAACATTCTTCATGGAGGATAATTACTCAAAAGAATGAAAATTTCCCCCCCTTCCTGGTGTTGCTCAGTGGTTAGAGGGTCAGCCTGCACACCGAAGGGTCTCGGGTTCAATTCCCAGTCAAGGGCACGTACCTGGTAGCAGGTTCCACCCCCAGCCCCAGTCGGGACCAGTGTGGGAGGCAACCAATTGATGTGTCTCTCTCACATCGATGTTTCTCTCTCCCCCCACCTCCCTTCCACTCTCTCAAAAAATCAATGGGGGGGAAAACAATAAAAACATCCCCTAAATTGTCAAAGCATCTTCTTTTAAAAATTCTCAAACTGGCCCAGCCAGGCATGGCTCAGCGGTTGAGCGTTGACCTGGGATCCAGGCAATCAGGGTTCGATTCCCGGTCAGGGCACATGCCCAGTTGTGTGCTTGGTCAATGACTCTCTCATGATTGATGTTTCTGTCTCTCTCTCCATCTCCTTTCCTCTCTTTGAAATCAATAAAGATATATTAAAAAAAAAAAAAAATTCTCAAACTGTTTTCTATGCCATCGAGGGACACTCTTGCCGGTGAGAGTAGGGAGTTCTGGAGGACTTGGTGAGTGTAATTAGCCTGAGTACACAGTACTGAGCCAGGGAGATGGTCCACAGGAAAAAGAGATTGTTATATACAA